CCCGGTGGTCCAGTGGTTGGGACTCTGCACTTCATTGCAGGTGGCAGGAGAACTAAGATCCTGAATGGCACCCTGTGCAGCCAAAAATAAATAAAGTGCATCTATGGCACATCTTCCCTTGGCTCACCACTGTCTGTAAGAAAATGGAAGCACAGTCCCCCAGGATTTTGTCCTATTTCTCATTCCTTTTAGCCATTCCCTCTATCAATCCAGATTTTGTCCTCTGTAAACATTTTTCTTCTCTAAAAAGTCTAAGGCTTCCTTCCCTCTGTGATTTTGTATATCCTCTTTCTCTCACCAGGGTTGCCTTCTCCAAGTTCTTTCATCCCCATGCCACCCTTTTTTTTTTGAGTACAGAGTACCACCTCTTAATACTGCTCTAAATATATTCAAGTTCAAAAGACTGTGAACCTCCACAGATAAAGGTTATACCCTCCTCTCACGAAGCCCTTTTAGAACCATATATGTGTGTGTGTGTGTGTGTGTGTGTGTATATATATAATTATAGCACCTGTCACACTGCTTGGCCATTTTAAAAGCAGTATTGTAGGTTCCTTTGTTTTCTGAGTCCTCAGAGTCAATTTGCCTAATACCTAGTTGTTTAACAAATAATGAATATTAGTTACAATGTAACTGCAATTAAGGAAATATTAGCCCGTATTAATAGCACAGTACTGAAAATTTTTAGTTCTGGCCACCATGTATACAGATAGACACTAAGGAAGAGTACTATCTCCCTGACAGTATAGTGTAAAATGTATTAAGAGGAGGTGGAAAGAATACACAGAAGAACTATCCAAAAAGGATCTTCATGACCCAGATAACCATGATGGTGTGATCACTCACCTAGAGCCAGACATCCTGGAATGAGAAGTCAAGTGGGCCTTAGGAAGCATCACTGTGAACAAAGCTAGTGGAGGTGATGGAATTCCAGCTGAGCTATTTCAAGTCCTAAAAGATGATGCTGTGAAAGTGCTGCACTCAATATGCCAGCAAATTTGGAAAACTCAGCAGTGGCCACAGGACTGGAAAAGGTCGTTTTCATTCCAATCCCAAAGAAAGGCAATGCCAAAGAATGTTCAAACTGCTGCACAATTGCACTTATCTCACATGCTAGCAAAGTAATGCTCAAAATTCTCCAAGTCCGGCTTCAACAGTACATAAACTGTGAACTTCCAGATGTTCAAGCTGGTTTTAGAAAAGGTAAAGAACCAGAGATCAAATTGCCAGCATCTGCTGGATCATCGAAAAAGCAAAAGAGTTCCAGAAAAACATCTACTTTTGCTTTATTGACTATGCCAAAGCCTTTGACTGCATGGATCACAACAAACTGTGGAAAACTCTTAAAGAGATGGGAATATCAGACCATCTTACCTGCCTCCTGAGAAATCTGTATGTAGGTCAAGAAGCAACAGTTAGAACTGGACATGGGACAACAGACTGGTTCCAATCGGGAAAGGAGTAAATCAAGGCTGTATATTGTCACCCTGATTATTTAACTCATATGCAGAGTACATCATGTTAAATGCCAGGCTGGATGAAGCACAAGCTGGAATCAAGATTTCCAGGAGAAATATCAATAACCTCAGATATGGAGATGACACCAGCCTTATGGCAGAAAGTGAAGAACTAAAAAGCCTCTTGATGAAAGTGAAAGAGCAGAGTGAAGAAGTTGGCTTAAAACTCAACATTCAGAAAACTAAGATCATGGCATTCGGTCCCATCACTTCATGGCAAATAGATGGGTAAACAATGGAAACAGTGACTGACTTTATTTTGGGGGGCTCCAAAATCACTGCAGATGGTGACTGTAATCAAGAAATTAAAAGATGCTTGCTCCTTGGAAGAAAAGCTATGACAAACCTAGATAGCATATTAAAAAGCAGAGACATCAATTTTCCAATAAAAGTCTGTCTAGTCAAAGCTATGGTTTTTCCAGTAATCATGTATGGATGTGAGTGTTTGACTATAACGAAAGCTGAGCACTGAAGAATTGATGCTTTTGAACTGTGGTGTTGGAGAAGACTCTTGAGAGTTCCTTGGACTGCAAGGAGATCCATCCAGTCCATCCTAAAGGAAATCAGTCCTGGGTGTTCATTGGAAGGACTGATGTTGAAGCTGAAACTCCAATATTTTGGCCACCTTATGTTAAGAACCAACTCATTTGAAAAGACCCTGATGCTGGTAAAGATTGAAGGTGGGAGGAGAAAGTGACGACAGAGGATGAGATGGTTGGATGGCATCACCAACGCGATGGACATGACTTTGAGTAGACTCTAGGAGTTGGTGACGGACAGGGAAGCCTGGCATTTTGCAGTCAATGGGGTGGCAAAGAGTCGGGCACGACTGAACGACTGAACTGAACACTGTAATGGCCTTAAGCAGAAAAGACTAGGAGGATACACAGCTCCCTTAGAATCTGAAGGACTAAAGAGGAAGCATCTGACAACTAACTAGTGAGTTTTCCCATGAGACCCAAGATTCTCCACCCCAGTTCTTCACCACAGTTCATCTTCATCAGTGCCGAAATGTATTGTAACTTATTTGCATTAGTAGAAGTAGAAGAACTGAAGTTTGAAAACAATTTACTTCCCCCCCCTTCTTAAACTAGGCTGTATTCTAGGTTTCTTCTACAAAGTCACTCCTGCCCACATATATTCCAATATACTTTGTTGAGATAGGGGTACAACTGATGGGTCTGGAAGCTGGGCATGAGTCCCAGTATACCTTATCTTCACTTCCACCCTGGAAGAAAGATGAGCTTGTGAATATTATTTATTGTGAGGTTGGGAGGATACAGAGAACTGCCCTCCTAGACTATGAGTTACTCCAGAGTAGGGACCATGAGTTTTCATTTGTGTCTGTCTACCCAGTGTCTAGATGGAAGGAAATGTGACAAAAACTTTTAAAAAGGACTGAAGGAAACAGAGAAACCAAAGGAATAAAGGAAGTTTATTATTTGCTTTCTTAGAAACTACTGACTTAATTTGGTTTTTAACTCAGATAAGGGGGAAAAAAAAGGCAAGAAAAAAGCTGCTTAAAAAGACTGTGGAAGAGTGGATGAGTTCTAAGTTCCTATTCAATTCTTTGATCTACGATTATCAGTTGTATTTACCTAACAATACTTTAAGTGACTTATGGCATTTAATGAATATGTATTAAATAGAATTATAATCTAGAATAACACCATGGCAGAAATGAACTGATGTTTCTGCTAAAAATTGAACTGATAGTTTTATGAAGACACTGGTAACAGGTTTGCAAAATGCAGCTTCAGACTGCTCCCTTGCTGGATGCTCTGTGGCTTAACTGGCCTGGTACAGAGCTGAGGTACCTTGCAATTTTTTTCCTTTCAGATTAAAAGAAATCACAGAACCTTGCTGGGCTAACTTCTAGACAAGACTCAAATTTAAAGTAATTTATTGGGGGTGGATTAAAGGGGCTTTTTTTTGGTTTTAGTTTTTTCCTAAGAGAATCCAGAGAGCTATTTCTGTTTTGTAGCGGTCACAAAAGCCAGAGCTGCAGAAACTCAAAATTCAAACAGATAAAGGTGAAGAAACAAGAGAGGGAACATTACAACAATGACCTATGCTTGCCTCCCAGTATGTCAGTAATGAAAGGTTTCTTAACTTTTTGGCTCTTCAAACTATACTGCAGTCAATACTACAGTAGGAACTGACTTATCCAAGATTAGTTGTTAATGTCTTCTGATTATTTGATGTAATTCTAAGCTCAAAGGCTTTTTTTCCTCCTCTGCAGTACCTTGCTTGGAACAAAGCTGTGCTTAATGCACATTACCTTGATTTCATAAAGTGTATAAAAACCAGAATAGTTGAGTAACTTTCATTGCAAAGGAAAAATAACATTTTGTTTTTTCCTTTTTTTTTTTAAACATTATTTTCATGAAGAGGCCAACTCTTTGCCCATTGATACCTGTCCAAATGTTATGACACTGCAAAACTGAGATCACATAAACTGGTTTGTTTGCCCATTTAATTTTGCCCATGATGCAGGACTATAATTGGGTAACACACTTAAAATCCTACTGCAAATAAGCATACTTTCTCTAGTCCCCCTGTGATATGCCATGAACCCATTTGTATAGACTTTTACTCACTGAAAGTACAATAAATATTTGTCGATTGATTTGCAACTGTAAGCCTTGTTTTCAGTTCAAAGTCTACATTTTACTGATGATCTGAAATACTAACTCCTGTACAGCCAATGTCTGGATAATGTCCTGCTTCCCGAACACACATCCATTCACCCTTTACCCCAACCCGCTCCTCGCAACGGAGCTGGTTGTGGGGAGGACATTTCAGGAGGGTATTCAGCAGGAGGAAAGACCGACAGCGCTACAGGAGCTGTTGAGGTGCTCGATAGCAGCTTTCTGGCTCAAAAAAGAGCAGCGCGTGTAGGGGGCGGGGTGGAGAAAGCGGAAACTTCATCAAAGATGCAAGTGACAACTCCCAGGGGCGTCTAGCTAGATTCCAATCCGAAGCGGAAAAACGAAAAGGTTAGAAAATACTGGCAAGGTGGTGTCTCCAGCCATATTTAAATTCACGCTGTACTAGTAACAAGCCACATAATCTGCCTTACCCAAGCAAGCCCATCTTCCCTCTTGGAGTCGGGAAAGCGGTCCCCACGAGTCCGGAGTAATAACTAGGGGAGCCTACTGTCTGCGGAGACTTCGCCAGAGGAAAGGGGCCGAGGGGCTCCGACCCTCCTCGACAATCCAGGAAACCCCCTCCCGCGCGCAGGTGGGCGGGCGCCCCATGCCACGCGGATGCAGAGCGAGGAGAGGGGTACCGGTGGCCCTCCCAGCGACCCCCGCCAGTCCCGCCAGGGGGAGCGTCTGCGCCCGACGGCCAGCGGCTGGGACCCGGCGGGCGGTGCAGGGCGGCGGCTCGGCGGCGCGGCTCCCCTCCCGCGTCTCCACCCCCTCCCCGCCCGCCCCCGGCGCGGCCCTGCCCGCCCCCTCCGCCCCCTCCCGCGGCGCCATGCGCAGACTCAGTTCCTGGAGAAAGATGGCGACAGCCGAGAAGCAGAAACACGACGGGCGGGTGAAGATCGGTCACTACATCCTGGGGGACACGCTGGGGGTCGGGACCTTCGGCAAAGTGAAGGGTGAGGACCCCCGGGCAAGGCTCGGCTCCCCGCCCAGGATCCAGGAGATTTCCGCCTTTCGCACCTCTTCATCCTCCCCCGCCCCCTGCGTTCCTGGTCTCCCGGGCTTCGCAGCCCCTGTCCTGCTCTGGCGCGAGCAGAACCCGAGGCCGCCGCGGGATTGCGGCGGAGCCCCCCGCCCCCTGCCCACGGCGGGTAGGGGTGAGGTGGGGACTGGTCGCCATGGCGACGGTGCGGCGGCCGGAGGGGCTCGTCCGTGCGAGGGGCGGGGATGCGGAGGTGCTAACTTTCCCAGGCCCGACAGTCGCAGGCAGCGCTGAGTGCTCCCTTTGCTGGGTGCGGGAGCCGGGGTCTCGGCCGGGAACCCGGGGGAGGCGGCCTCCTATTCTACCCGGCTGTGGTCCCTCGGATCAGGGCCAGCCCATCGCCTCCCTGGCCGTCACTGTCCGTATTTCCGTCCTCTTTAGGAGACTGTTGCCTTACTTGCCCTAGCTGGCTGACAGGTGTGAAATGTGTCCCCCCGAAGTAAGGTTGCGTTGGAGGTAGTTTACAGAATTTATTAAAAAAAAAAAAAAAAGGCCGTCCCGTCGGGAAGGATCACTGATATTTTTCGGAGCGGTTAATGATTATAAATTGGTCTTATATGTATTTGCGATCTATGGTTTATGGTCTGAATGCACACCCCGTGTCCTGTGTTTCTTAATTACCAAACCCGGTAGGCAGATTTTTCCTCCGGATAGTGTTGATTGATGCAATTCATTGATGCAATTCGCTTCCGTTCATTTTCACAAGATATTTATATTTTAATGAATAATGTTCATTTGAAATTTTTTCTTTTTTAAAGAAAAGTGGAATCGCTTTTTGTTGTGTTTCAGTACAGTATTTTGGAAATAACAAACTTGCCCTTCAAGTCACCAATTCTGGCACAAAGGGTTTAATTGCAAATTTTGTGAGGCATAAACATTTTTTCTTTGAAATAGATGACTCTGCTATTAGGAATGTAGAGGAAGGAAGTATGGAACTGATAAAAATTATTATGCATTGGCTTTGAATAAAGAATAGCCTGTGACTTGCATATAATAAGCTCTTGGTCAATATTTGAAAGAGAAAATAGATTGTGAAAGTTTGTGAAAATAGTTTGTGAAAGTACAGTGAATTAACTAACTGAGCCTTGCTCTATCAGAGCTAAATAAACATTTTCTGATTTTATCTAGGGATGGAAGAGGAGAGCCCTTTCTTCTCTTGCTCTTTCTGAGTCATAGAACTGGAAAATTGCTGTATAGCCCACAGGGAAGCAACTGCCTAAACCTTCTTAAGAAAATCAGCAAGGCCAACAATGTAAGAAAGTAAGAAGCAAATGCCAGAATAGGGTAATTACAGCTATTAGGGTGGGTCTGTTTGGGGGGCCAGTAAGATGTTTCTGTGCTTTTGAAGTTACTTATTTTGACGATGTTGTTTCTTTACTTGTTAGCCATTACAGACTGCTTTCAGTTTATAAATTATTATAAACTGCTTTCAGTTTATAAATACTGAACTATTCACTATCGCCCCCCAGATAGTAATGACAGCTTTGATGCCTTCATTCCACTCAGGGTTCTGCTTGGATTAGCATGCTCATTGTCCTAATTCAGACCTGAGTAGAGTCAGGTCTCAACGTTCTTATTTGCTAGGTGGCTTTTGGCACGGTAGATGGTAGATAGGAAAGCCAGAGGATATTCCTCATTGCCTGGGTTTGATATGTGATGTGGCAGTGACATGAATCCCTCCAGTGACTTCTATTCCTTAACCTTCACTCCTCCACACCTGCCTCTCTTGAAATAACACACGCTGTCAGAGTGAACCATCTCTCCAAATATAGAAAGGCCAGTGTTAGAGGATCATAGGTTTCATGGATCGGGTTCCTTTGTTCATAAATACATTAACTGATGGTGGTCAGTCTTCAATCACAGTCTTTTTAAAGTTGTTGAACAGTTGAAATGCTTCCTGCCCCCAAATAATAGAAAATTCAACACAGCCTAGCCAAGAACGTCTTTTCTGTGGTTCTGTGTCCAGGGCGAGGAAGCCCCAGCATCGCCCTCAAGAGTCTTACTGACTCAGTCAGTCCGTCTGGCCAGGGTTATTATGTGCTAATTGGCTTAGGCTTGTGTTCCTATAGGGCAGATGGCATTACCCTTGAAGGAAGAGCGCCCCCTCTCGGATGTATGTGTGGGAGGGCATCTTCTGAAGTACTTGAATAGTACAGGGGGATAGGGTGGACGCATGCACAGAAACCGGTTTTTTTTGGAAGAGTGAAAGGGGGATCTAGATGCTTGGTGAGCACGCAGAAATAGCCACGATAGTGGTGACATGTTAACTTAGGGTAGTCAAGAATTTGACCGGAATTCTTACAAATTATATGATTAGCCACATATTTCAAAGGAGGCAGTTTGGAGAAGACACAGCTTTTTAGTCATACACACTGGTAAATTTAACATAGAAAGAATCTAATAGAAGATGTGATATCATATCATTTCCAATATAGTCTATCTTATAGAAAACTTATTGAGTTGATGGGGAGGACTGCAGATTCATAGGCATTATTTTGTTTCTTGTTAAGGTTTAAAAAATCCTTTGTTAATTTAATGGGAACATTTTGAGGGGAAACTTTAGACAACTAGGGTTAGTTTGGAATTGTGCTTGAATTATCTTATTGTTTCCAAGATACCTTTTTTCTGACCCCTTGATTGTCAAGGGGTTGGTCTCCACTCCCTTGTGGGTCTACTCCCCTCTCCTCTCAGGAAGAACATTTATAAAAGCATGGATGAATAGAGTTATTATTGCAGTAAATATAAGTGGCAGTTTTTCCTCATTTTCTAAGAGAAGTTACTTCTTCAGTAGGGTGGCTAATCTTTGCCAGATGCGTTTTTATACATATAATCTGTTTATTAAGTTGATGAGTATTTTATACATGAAACTGAAAGTTTAGGTAAATAAGTGACTGTTCTCTTCGACTGAATCACATAAGAACTTTTAAGTAAAGAAGTCTAGATATGAATTAGAGCTATATGTATCAAAGTGGGTGAATCTCGAGTATATAAGTTTAGGCCACAAAAACAGAAGTTGAAGAATATGTCCAGTCATGTTATTCATATAAAGTTTAAAAACATGAAAAAACATTCATACATTGCTGACAGGAGTACAAATCGGTATCACCTCTATAGAGTGTGACAGTATTTATAAAGTTAACCTGGCAATTCAACTTCTAGGAATTTATCCTATAGGTGTATGGAATAATGAGTTATTCATTGCCATATTGTTTGTCAGTACAAAAGATTGGAAGTAACCTGCTAGTACGCAGGACAATAGTTAAATTATGGTTTACCCATACAGTGGTATATGCCTTGCAAACATTAAGGAAAAAAAAAGCAAGACTTTATATAAGATAGGGAACAATTTCCAAGGTGTATTTTTAAGAGAAAAAAAAATAAAGGGATAATAAACAAAGTGTATAGCATACCTACCATTTGTGTATAAATAGCAGGGGCAAATTGAAGTATCTTAAGTGTAACTGTGTGCATCTGTAATACAGTGTTTCTTTAAAGATACACATGAAACTGCGTTGTAGTAGAAACTTAAGATTACACATGTTCAGGGGAGGGGAACTAGGTTGTAGGAGGACATGTCACTGTATATCTTTTTATATTTTTGAATCATGCATTGTGAATTCAAGAAAATATATAAAATTAAGTTGATATTAATGTTGTGAAAATAAACATGAAAAAATTGTTACTATATCATTTATGGATTCATCATATATGTGGGAAAGACAAACCACATTCAAGATAGTGGTAACTTCTAGGGAGAAGGAAAGGAGGAAGGAATCTGGGAGGAGTCAGACTGGGCTTCAGTTGCATCTGTAATGTTTTATTGCTTAAGCGACTACTGGGTTGAACATGGGTTTTTGCTTTGCCTTTTGGGATGCCTGAAATGTTTTGTTAAGAAAAAGTACCTTTTTCAAATTTCTACCTATAGCTTTTAAGATTCATCCCTCTTCAGCCAGAATTAAGTTATTTCCCTGATACTTTTAGCAGTGAGGTGTTTTTGTTTTGTTTTTTCAATTTTAGAGTGAGAATGAAATGATTGGGTGATTAGAATATCTGTGGTAAACATTTCTATCTTTGTGGCAACTCTTTATCAGTGTTTAAAACTCTCTCTTTCAAAGTATGATCTTTGAAAGATCAGGATACTTTACTTCAGGATACATATCTGATTAGAAGAGCATGTGTTACAGAGCTCTACAGTTAGACAAAGTTCCTTTTAGAAAGCAGTAACAGGTTGTTAGCTAATGTTTAGTTGACTCATCTGTTGCTGTTGTTGTGAGGGAGATATTGTTAATTGTGGTAACCTTTGCTGTGAGTGACTCAGGTCTTCCATGGCAGAAATACCTGTCTTCCATTTCACCCAAAAGCCACATCTTGTTATTACTGTAAAACAGTGACATCTGAAGAGAAAAGTTTTGAGCTTCAGACTAAGGGAGAAATATTTTAGAAGTGCATATCCCTGACAAAGTCCATGTACTGCACTGATTGACTTACGGAGCAGCAGTTAATTTGGCTGCAACTGAGTTTAGTCACTGGAGAATCTTTAGCCTAGTTTTGAGGAAACAGTTCAGATTTTGATATTGTTGTCAAGGCTACTTTCCCTTCACAGTGCATTCTGATGGTGGTGTACAGTGGATAGGTCCCAGACTTGGAATTCTTCTAACTAGAAGACCTGTTCCATCTTGATCACTTAATAACTTTACTTCAATGAGTTAATCTCTCAGAGTCTCATATTACCTGCATCATAGGTTTATTGTGAGGCTCAAATGTGATATTGTGTTTCCTAAGCTATAATAAAATAACTATATTTTCAAAAGTATTATGCTACTGAAATTCTAATACTGAAATATGTTGGCAGTGGGTTCAAGGAAGTCTTATTATTTTTCTCCCTTTTTCTTCCCAGCAAAATCTTGCTAATCT